TGGTTTTGGTGAATTATCATATATGCAATTCCCAGCTCTCGATGCATCTACTAATGATATAACTATCATATTTGCAACCACAAAGCCTGATGCATTATTATTGTATAATTATGGAGCCCAAACTGGAGGAAGGTCAGATTTTATAGCGATTGAATTGTTAGGTGGAAAACCAATATTTTCATTTGGAGGTGCAAGAACATCAATAACTTCGGTATCTATTATGGATTCTGAAGTGAATACCGCTGACGGCAAATGGTATAAATTAACTGCTACCAGGAATGGTCGTGTGATATCTCTGAGTGTGACCTCCTGCACTGACCACGGTGATGTTTGTATGGAATGCGAACCCGGCGATAGCTCATGTTACGACGATGATACTGGACAAGCAGGGTATGTCTACTTTATTTATTATTTTCAAACTTTTAAGATACTCTTTCCTTTCTATTTCAAACAAAGTTAGCATAATGCATTAATGCATTCTGTGTCGTAAAATTTACAAATAATAATTATACCCCCTCATTGTATTTGATAGAATTATGGATTACTATATGCTTATATTTTATTTTATTTTATTGTTTTTACAGAACTTTAAACTTCAACAACGAGCCGCTACTCATTGGCGGATTACATAAAGCAGACCCCGTCCTGGAACGTCCCGGGCAAATTCATTCCGATGATTTTGTTGGTTGCATGCACAGCATTTCCATCAATGGACGTTTCCTAAATTTAACTAACCCGCTCAAAGCACGGGGTGTGGAAGCAAATTGTGACCGTACAGAAAAAGGGACCTGTTATAAAAAGGACATTTGTGATTCAGGACAGTGCTTGGATAAGTGGAAGACAAACAACTGCAAATGTGAAAAAGATCTCATTGCACCTAACTGTAACTCTGCTCTACTGCCTATATCTGTAAGCGAAAGTGCTTACATTACGTATATGATATCGGAAAAGCACCGAAGAATGCAATTACTGGAGTCCTTTTATGGTGGAAGCACAAATTGGGAAAGAAAGAGCAAAAATGTTGGAAAAGCCGTAACTAAAGTAAGTAACCCAGCTAAAATATTGACTTTCTTTTTCAAAACTAACAGAAAAGAAGGAGTACTTTTTTATGCAGCAACTGACAAATACTACACTATAATTGAATTGAATGAAGGAAAAGTTAGTTACACGTCAAAACAAAATGTAGTGGTTAACATGACTCAAGTCGACCAACAAGATGTCTCTGACGGTAATTGGCATAATATTACCATATATTCTCATGGAAGAAGTATTCGTTTGATTGTTGATAACAAAAACGTGGGTGAAGAACTAGATGCAGCTGGAGTGCACGATTTCTTAGATCCCTATTTAACAATCATTTCTTTAGGAGGTGTTAAAACGGAATGGGTATCACACAATAATAAATTTGAAGGATGCTTGGCAAACTTTAGTATTAACAATGAACTTCAACCTTTTAATGGCAACGGAAGTATATTCAAAGAAGTTATTCGAAAAGGAAAAATAATACCTGGATGCCATAGTACTTTCGGTGCCGGAATAGCTCAAAATCCAAATCCATTGAATATTGGCATAACGCTTGTTATAGTATTTTTCATTATATTAATCGTAGCAATTTCGATATCGTTTATTGTATATCGACTTCGGAAGCAGAAAAAAGAAAAGGGCAACACCTCAGGAAGTAAAAGTAACATAGTCCATACTAAGCAAAATGGTGGTCCCGCTATGTTAAATGCGCCAAATTTGATTGCTGGGACTAATGACAGTATTATGAATCGAAATATGCACAACAATGAAACAAGTTTGAATAGTTACATGTCTGAAAATGCAGATATAATGAGAAATGTCGGTCATATTGTTGGTCCTGAATTATTATCAAAGAAATATAAAGATCGTGAAATAATGAACATAGATCCACCGAGACCTCAACGACCTGATATTATCGAAAGAGAGGTGGTCGGGAAAAGTCCAGCTTTAAGAGAAGATCACCATCCACCTCCACCACCTTCGACAAATACTTCTCATCATACTCATGACCATCCTAGTGGTATGGACCTTAACTCAGAAATACCCGAGCACTACGATCTTGAAAATGCAAGTTCGATAGCACCATCCGATATTGACATTGTTTACCACTACAAAGGATTCCGAGAAGCCCCCGGTGTTCGCAAATATAAAGCAACGCCGCCGCCGATAGCAGGTTACCATCACAAACATCAAACACCACAACACAGGCATTCCCCACATCACCCGAGTGGGTATCCTCCTAGAGTTTTACCTCAAGCATCTCAACCACCTCCACAACCGAGACAACATCAAACCACTCCATTAGCTCGACTATCGCCTAGTAGTGAGCTTAGTCAACAACCAAGAATCCTAACTTTACACGATATTTCTGGAAAGCCTTTACAGAGTGCTTTGTTAGCAACAACATCAAGTTCAGGAGGCGTAGGAAAAGACGCATTACATAGTAATAGTGAACGCAGCTTAAATAGTCCAGTTATGTCCCAATTAAGTGGGCAAAGTTCTTCTGCTGGTAGAAAAACTCCAAGCGCTGCGCCACAGGTTCCTCAAGTAGTTTCAGTTGGGTCTGGTGCAGTCGGTTTGACAGCAGAGGAAATTGAAAGAATGAATGCCAGACAACGAACCTCTAGTCTCGTTTCGACATTAGATGCGGTATCAAGTTCCAGTGAGGCTCCAAGAGGGGGAGGAGTAAGCCATCACATGTCACATAGGCATCACTCACCACCGGTCGACAACAGAAGTTCCACTGGATCAGATGATGAAAGTGGAAATGATAGCTTTACATGTTCAGAAATAGAGTATGATAATAATAGTATAAGCGCCGATAAGCCTGAGGATGTAAGAAGACAGAATGTTAATAGTGGAAATAATAATAAGAAACCCATTTTACCTCCACCTTATGAGAGCTTTGATTCTTCGTTTCGAGGTTCTCTGAGTACGTTGGTTGCATCGGACGACGATCTGAATCCACATGTAAGTGCCGCATTGTATAGACAGGCAAATGGATCTCCTGCACCAGCAACTTTAGGATGGGATTACTTTCTAAATTGGGGTCCAAATTTTGAAAGTATGATAGGTGTTTTTAAAGATATAGCCGAATTACCAGACGCCGTAAATGGTCGAATGTCTTCCTCGTTAAGGCTTCCGAATGGTACTCCAAAGCCTTCGGAAGAGTATGTCTAAATTAATGTTAAATAAAATTGTAAATATGTTTACATAATACTGATGTAAATTTTTTGTTGAGATCTTGTATCAAGGTCTTGGTAGATTCAATTTTCTTGCCATATTTTGCTATTTTATGTAACTGGGATATAGTATAGTTCGACTTAGATTATATAATTGTAAATATATTTTATATTCATTTGTAGATAGCGTTGATTAAGAATTTAGTAAGTTACGATAGTTGCTCTCAATTTAAAAATAATGTACATAAAATTCAATAAATCAATTTGTAGTGCAAAATATATTAAATGTAAAATTGAAAACTTTAACCCGAACCTGAAAAATTTAAACTTACGAATTTTGTACAATTTTCTCTCAACATGTGTCTTGCGAATAATCATTTTACCATTTAACTTAGTTATTTTTTCATTCCAAATTTTACAAATCGAATAAAACAGGGTTGTAATTCTTTAAAAATTGTAATACTTAAACTCAAGGTTTCCAATATCGAAACATTTGTTAAAAAGATATTATACAATCACCCCTTTCATTCCACTTGACAAAACAGAATACCCAGTTTACGTTATTCCAGTCCAGCTATGGAATTTTAAATTTATCTCATACATCGAATAGTAAACTGTAATCATATAGTGGAATACCTCGTGTGGGGTCCAGTGTAAGTTTAAAAATTTTCCAGTTTTAATGGAATAATGTAAACTGGACGTAAAATTATTCGATAAATTGCAACGTAAAATTATTCATTTACTCTCACGTTTATTTATGTGCTTAAATACTCCGACTGAAATTTTATGTAAAATTTTAAAATATCCATTCTTTATAAATAATAATTGTAATAAGCCATATTAATTAGTGAACAAAGTGCCAAATGTGTATTCTGTTCAAAAGAACTGACTGATTTTACAATATGTGAATATTAAATAAATTAAATGAAAAAATGACTTTTCTTTTCAACATTCTACCGGTAACTCCTTAATACCTACACAGTAGATAAGAAAGGAATCCTATGACTTAAGTTATGCTATGTTCTAAGTAATTTTTGTCAAGGTCGTAACATAGATGTTTATAGTAATGGCATTGATTATCTACGAGCCAGCAATTATAAAAAAAAACGTAAAACAAAATAGCAATGATAAGACAATGCAAAAACGCATACCTCTTTTTTTACATTTGCATAATACATAATTTAGCACAAAGTTACATTAGAGTGGATATGCTTTTTGGTTTTATTAACATTTGACATCATCTGGTATTAAAATAATATCATATATATAGTTATTAATTTACTTGTTCAGACACGAAATGCCCACTACAATACATAGGCATTTTCCAAAGATCGCCACGATGATCGGTCCTGTGCTACCAGCATCCAGGATACTCCTATAACCTTGACTAGATCAACGGTCCATCTTGCGTCATATTGCCCACGTTGCCTCTACCTGTCCGTGGCTCCCACTCCAAGACTTTGTAGTCCCATCGACCGCCGGTTCTGAGGGTAATATGGCCAGTCCATCGCCACTTAAAGTTTACAATTCTTCAGGCAATGTTACCTTCGTTCTGCTGCGGATCAGGTCATTTATGATTTGATGCGAGTTATTAATACATAAGGTTTTTATTTTCTTGCAGTAAAAAGAAGCATTAATTCCAGAATATCCTAACAGAAAGGTCGATGTCTATTTCTCCAGGTCATAGTTCTTCATGTTTGTTTATCATTTTATAGCCAAGCTATCCAAGGTATGCAGGAAATGAAATTAAGCCAATGTTACATATACGTAATTTCGTGGCGTTGACGAGTCGCGTTCGTATACACAAACCTAATTTAACCCAGTGCTGTTGATAATTACCAGCTAAAGTGCTAACGCAGTCTTAACAGTACCCTTAACTTAAACGAACCTGTGAATTACACAAAAAGTCATTGAATTTTTTGTGTTTGTTGGCGAATTTTTTGCTTACACAAAATGCATTTTTTAAATTCTTTTTCCAATTTGCTATTATCATTTGTGTATATTTATTTTCTTTTGAGTAAGTATTGTCTTTTATTATATAAGAAACGTAAGAAATAACATTACTTTGTGAATATTAAATTAATATATTTAAACAGTTGAATTTATAAATTAACAAATGTAAGAGTAAATCGTATTATTAATAATTTTAAATATAAGTACGATATTTATAACTATACTGATTCATTTTAGCTGATATAAAATAAAATGCATTTTGAATATTCTTGTTTTCAACCTTGAAATGCATTTGATTTGAAATTCAATTAAAATAAAATAATTTTTGTACTAAACTATTGTCGTCGCTTGAAATTGTATGTTAAATATCATCATTTTCTTTAATGCGTTAATAATGTTAAATCCTTATAATGACTGCTAATCATATTTCAAACATTTTTTGTAAAACAAAATTTGGAGAATAACAATCGCATTCTACTTTGAGATTTTATAAAATTATTTCTATGCATCAGTACTTTTACGTAAGTATATTTTTTACATAATTAATTTCCGTACCACATTAACGTTTTTTCTTGTTAGTTCCATAAAAATAGTTAATAGTTTACTCTAGAATGCAATAAAGCACTTTAAAGTTACCTAACTAAAACATAAATGCGAAAGTTTGGGTGTATGGATGTTTGTTTAAAGGTAACTCCAGAACTGCTCACAACTAGTATAATAAATAAAAATCTTGTTCGATTTTATGATATTTTAATTATATTTCAATAAAAATTGCATAAAAAATGATATCAGCGAGTCCTATTTGAAATCTACATAATCTATACTAAATTAAATAATATTATAATTTATATGTTAATTAAATCCTAATGTCTGTATGTAAAATTGAAAAAAAAAACAATTTCATACCCATTGTGTATTTACGTAGCTGAAAAAGAAAACCTTTTTGTAAAAATTACGTTTGTCTGTCTGTCTGCAAGGTCATATTTGTTCCGGATAATCTCCGGAATGGCTGTGATTTTGACTATTCCACGCGGGAATATAGGCTACTTTTTTAAATGACTGGCGCTGACAAAGTCGCGTGCAACCAATAGTTAATTGATACAAGCAACACTAATATAACAACGAACAATAAATTAGAGAGTGTTATAAAAATATTTCAAGGGTTATTGAACGAATATAATAATTAAATGTGACTAGATAACATGAAGTATAATTTGTAAATTTTTGTAATAATTTACATATATTTGGATAACAATTAAATGGTAACTATAGTTAAAAAAATAATCAATTTAAGACTAAAATTACATTCGGTTTGTGAAAATAATAATAGTAGAGTTATGTAAACTTTATATTTTAATACGTTTGTAGAAATGTGTTTAAAAATTCTCAAATTACCTACGTTACCCTCCTGACAGGACAAAAAATCGTTCATAATCGTGTCCTGGTTAATAGTTGAAAAGTTTTTTTAATTACCTAAATAATAACAGTGTGTTGTATCATTTTGTTCAGTTTTTTTATGGCAATAAAGTTTTATTATTATTATTAATTTTATTTCTGCAGTAGTTTTTAAGTTATCGAGCATTAAGGAATAATAGTAATCAAATTTTTATTACGTATTTTTAGGTTATTGCAATTCATTAGCTGCTGACAATTGTGTGATTCCTCCTTTAGATTGTCCAAACGAAAATGTAACTTTTTGGTTATACACAAGGTAAATTTATTTTTAATTATTATACTTTTTTCCTAATTTCCATGATAATATTTATTTTAAAGTAACTAAAGCTGTCCATGAGAGTAGCACCCTGCACTAAGGAATTAAAAGGCAGTATACACTATTTACGAAATACTCATGAACCAAAATGTTAAAGGCAACATTTTTTTTTTCAGAGCAAATAAGGACGAGCCACACCAATTAATATTCTCAGATCCTACATCAATTGATGAAGCCCCGTGGGTCCCGAATGCAGAGATCAAGATAATTATCCACGGGTACACAGGTCACAAAGATTTCGCTCCAAACCCACAAATTAGACCAGGTATAGTATAAGTGTTCAATTTGGGGCCCGCATGGCCGTAGACTTTATTTACATAAAAACCTAATTTTGGCCCGTAGTTCAAATAAGTTGAACATTAAGTGGAGAGAAAGTTACGTCTATCAGATAAGTTATACGCTATTTAAATAAAACACCAAATAATTGAGTATCTAAGTTACTCAACACAGTACATACACTGATCGGATATTACGCGGGTCCCACACGCGTTAATTTGATATATATAACTAGCTGTCGCACGCGACTCCGTCCGCGCGGGATTTAAAAAAAACTTTATAAGTAGCCTATGGTTTTTTTTTTTGTGACTGAGTAGTCACTGTTTGCCTTGAAGAGGCATTTACAGCTTCACCGGGCTTAAGGTTGCCGAGCGCAGATAGCGCTTAGCCTGAACCTCGAAGTAGCCTATGTTTTCTTCTAGACTATATTCTACGTCTGTGCCAAATTTCATAAAGATCCGATGAGCCATTTCTAAGATACCTTCAAACAAACATCTATACATCGATCCATCCATCTAAATATTCGAATTTATAATATTAGTAAATTATATAAACATTATGTACACACATAATGTGTAGGTATCTACTGTGTAGCTTGAATGTTATAATCAACTTGTGTACATTTTAAAAATTAGTATAATTTAATTAAAACAATTATCTATGTTCAAACACTAATAATAACTTTTTAATGACGACGACGAGCGACATTGACAGTCCGCGTTATTTTTTTTTAAACAAAAGATAAGGAAATTATAAGAGGATGTATTTATTTGTGTTTTATCATTGAAAAGTATTCAAGATATAAATACAGTTCCTTCCGGACATTATTTTTATCATTATGTTTGTTATTACACTTGAATTTATATATTGTTATAACATACTACGCTCATACTGCGTAGCTCTAGTTTCATGAAGGTACAGAGTTCAATTTAACGAGATAAAATTTGAGATAGGTACACTTATTTTAACAATTAGTAACCATTTATTCTTTATAAGTTAAGCTACGTTCTTACGCCAAAAAGTGTTATACAAAATTGAATGACGTGGTTTTACCCAGAATATATATTGAGTTATTAGATAGAAGAATCTGTAAAGGAATAAAATTTACATTACTCCGGAGATACATAAAGATCTTTGCTTGTTTCAAATATATTTATTACTTCCTTTAAATCTAATTTGTAAAAATCGGCGTTAAAATCAGTAACCTTTTTTTTTGTATTTCTCGCTTTTCAGCGTATTTAGAATGCTGTGACTATAACTTAATATCAGTAGATTATCACCCCGTGGCATTAGAACCTTGTTACCTGCAGGCGGCAACTAACACTGAGCTAGTGGGCAAATGCGCTGCGCAACTTATTGATGAGATGGTCTTTAATCACAGTATCCAACTGTCCAAGATACACGTCATAGGTTTTAGTTTGGGTGCTCATGTCGCAGGATTCATTGGTAGTTACATTAAATCGGGAAAATTGGAAAGGATAAGTGGTATGTAAAATCTTAATTTATTATTGTATGTTATTATCGGCGAGTTTCCACTGTCATAATAACTTTTAAAATAACCTACAATCGGAACAATGTTGCCATTTCATTTATTCACGTTGAAAAAACAGAGATGAAAATATAGTTTATATAAAATGTGTTACGACAAATAAAATGTAGGAAAACATTTACCAATTTTTTTTTTATTCGAGTACTAAACTAAACAAAGATGGTTTGGACTAATTTAGAATCCATACTTCATGATTCCTTTTAAAAGATTTTTTGAAATTCTTGTTGTGAGTAGAAATTGTTTGATATATTTTCGTATTTAACTAAAGGATAAAAGTATGTATATTTAGTTTACATAAGTTAAACTTAACAGCATTAGACCCAGCGTTACCGTTATTTGCTACGGCTGACGTGTCAAGAAAGATTGACCCAAGTGATGCAAAGTCTGTTGATGTTCTCCATACAAACGCGTTGATGAAGGGGAAATTGGAAATAAGCGGGCACTCTGACTTCTTTGCTAACGGTGGCAGTAAGCAGCCTGGTTGTAAAGCTGATGAAAACCATAGTAAGTTATTGAAACGGTTTTATTTTATTTTAAATGGCATACCATTTTTCCGAGTTATAAGTCTTTTGATTAACTTAGATAGTTTATTCCGTTTCCGGTATGAGTTTTAAGAATACACAAAAGGAACAGACTTTCTGAAAAAAATAAACAAAAAGTAACTTATATGAGATTTAATTTAAGATAAAAAAATGGTTTCGCCAATAAAGTGAACAGTCGCTAATACGGATATTTTTTAAAAGAGGATCTACCACTGCGTCAGCCTATGTATTAAATAATTTTATTACGAATTCATTTACTTTTAGCGGTATCAGGCTGTGAGCATGAAAGAGCTGCAATATACTTTGGTGAATCTATTATCACTAAAGTTGGGTTCTACGGCAAGAAATGCTATTCGTGGATAGCCTACATAATCGGATGGTGCGAGCTGGTCAGTTCAGATGAAGATGTTTTATACGGCGAGCACATGCCACCAAAGTTAGTCTTCTATTTTTTATATTATCACTATGACGTTGTTAATAATACAAATAACTAATTCTCTAACATTAATGGTATAAAAAATATTTTAAGAATTAATCGCTAGACAGCTCTATATATTTCTCTGTGCGTAATGACTCAATGATATAGATAAGATATACGTACAATTGAATACGAAAACTCGACCTTAGCGAGGCCAGTTATGAAAAGGGAACTATTAAGTTATAGTTGTTTTAATAAAAAAAATGACAAAACTTTTATCAAACTAGCTGTCAGCCGTGGAATTAACTCACATAGTTAGTAGCTTATGTGTTCTTCCTGTATGCGACTATGTTCTGTATGTATGCCAAATTTCATCGAAATCCGTTAAGCCGTTGCGGAGATACCTTCAAATAAACATCCAGTTATCCATTCATTCATCCATCTATGTAAACTTTCGCATTTATAATATTAGTAAAAAACAGTTATTACATTACTCTACAAACATATAGAGCAAAGATATATAAAGAATGTCTACCATTTTACCTTTTCTATGTAGAAAAGGCAATATGTACATATTTGTGATTGTTATTAATTAAATATTATAACAATTATTGCGTTGATTTCAGCGTATCTGGTGTGTATTTCTTCAACACGAATTCCGCGCCTCCTTTCGCGCGAGGTACAAACAAAAACAGAAGCTACAACGACGATGATGATAATTGGATTTAATATATAGGTTTTAATTATTGCTTTTAATCTATTATTTATTAAAATATACTAAAGGATATAATTATTTCTATTTTTATACGCATCGTCGTATTTCGTGAGAATTACGTCACGGTATAAGGTTTATGATTTGCCGTTTGAATTTCAGTATAAATGTATGGGACAAATAAAATATTTTATGTATTATATGGTACATTATTTTGATGAATGTTCGACGATAGGACTTACTTGGAATGGTCAAAAGAATTGTTTATAATTTTTTAAATAATCTGCTATTTTTTTTAATTTAACAAATATTTTTTGCTCCTTTCAGAACTGGTATTCTTATACGTAGATGTTAGCAGATTTTAAATATTCAGTAAAAGTAAAGGGACCAGTTTGATCATTTTACCCGGATATGGTTTGCAGGAACTTTCGTAACGGAAAGTCCACTTTGCACTTCAATACGGAAATATCGAAATAAATATTGTCCGGCATAAGTAAAACGGAAAATTTGATTTCCTTGGAATTGTTTAAACTGTATAAAAGGTTACGATTAAGAATATTTAGATTTTTAAAAGTTTAGTATTTAACAGGGCTAATGTTATCCCAAAAATTAAATATATAAAAGAAATTTTAATCAAACTTTAAATCTGTGAAAAATACTACAAATGTATATATATACTATAAATATATATATATATATATATATATTTATTTAAAATATTAGCAGATTTTTTTATAAATTTACTAATATTTCTTTTACCATTCCAACTAAGCTCTAGGCTTGTGCTAGGATATGGTTTACGACAATAGTCGAATGGCGGGATTCGTATATGCATGGTTATTTTGGCTATGGATATCATTTTAAATAACAAAAAACTGTCAAATACCACACTGGCTTTTGTCTTCTATTGTCTTGTCAGCATTACTCAAGTGTTAAGTGATGAAGCAATATATTTCATAAATGTCATATAATTTAACAACACTATGTAAAGGTCAAATAATATGAATTATATTATATAATTCATATTATTTGACGCTTTCGTCTGTCTGTTAGAAAAGAAAAAAGTCCATTAAGGGAAATGGGTAGGTACTTTTTATTAATTTGCTTTGTTTTTGTAATGACATTTCTTATTTTAAATCTTTGATTTGTTTATTTCATTTATTATTTTTATGTAAAGTAGCAAACGAAGTTGAGAGCAAAACTTCTAGTCTTGTAAACATATTACCATAATATGACAATGATTTTATAAAAAACCTGTAATTAACGTATAAGTGTTAATTTTCATATTTAATTATAAAAAAATCACAAGTAGGTATACGCAATAGGATGCCAAGTACAGCGAATAAACAATCATAATGGGTATAATAAAGCATAACAAAGAAAAACAAATATGAACCTCGGATATCTCAGGATTGTTTCTTACAGAAAACGTTTCTCTGTTACTGGAGGTTGGCCGTCAACTCAGCGATCCCATCTCTTTCAACGGTGACAATAATGGTCTATTACCGGATGTTCCTTACACATTTTCTTCCAACGCGTCTTCTGCTCATTTACCCATAATTATAAGTTGAAGAAACTGATATTTTTCGTGTCACAAGACATGATCATCTGCAATAACTTGCGTTTCTTTCCAATGTTTTTATTGCTCGACAATAAAAATAGGCGCAGAGTAGTTTTCCACACTTACAAAACCTATATTGTTATAGTATTATTATAAGTTTGTTTCTGTTTACTACCAATAGTTATACCGATATTTTTTTATTTACGGATTAGGCTACACCAGTACGTTCTTTTTGCCTTGACATTATATTTTTTGCCCGAAACATGAACGTTGAATAATTTTAGACAGACGTAGCTTTTAAGCGTATGCTTGTAAAAAAATATAATAAGGCTTTTTATTAAACTCCAAATAAACTGCACTGGATATATCCTTTTAATCCTCATTAGAAGATTTTATTCGATGAATAATTCGCAATTTTGTACGTTTATTTCTGTAAATACATAGCCAAGTACGTGATAAGAGTTTTTCTTAAATCATACCCCAAAGATTTGGAGTTGAGGGATAAATGTTTTTATAGAAAAAAGTTATTCCTTCAAAAGAAATACGTTCTATACGAATTTTATAGCTTCAATATACAATCGAACTAGATTATTTCAATTGGTCTGATTATTCAAAATGCCGCCAGATTTTTACAGTTAATATTTAGTGTTCTGTTAGTTCCTTTTCAAGAACGACTTCTAACTGTTTAATTTGAAATCGCAAAGCTTTATTGAATACAAAATTAGAGCTATAGGTTAATTACTCATATTATTTTAGATGTTAACACCCTTCCGCATTTCGATTGGATATATTAAACTGGTAGACCTTGTGATTTCCGTATTTGCTGACATGAAGTATAATTACTATATAATATTATATTAAATTCTGGTTATGAAAATGACGTCAGTATTTACGTATTATTTTGTAACCAAAAAGGTCCTAAGTAAATTTAATTCAATTAAGTGGTAACAAGGATGCTAATTGTTATGATGATTGTTATAGCGTTTGTACATTTTAATAAAAAAAATATTAGCGTATAATAGTTTTAATGGAATTTGTTAAGACAATTTACCGGTTTTTAAGTACTAGCCCTAATAAGTATAGCTTTGTACAATTTAAAGTTTATGATTTAACCCAAAATAGTAACAGAATACAATTGAGGATTAATATTGTTAGGAAGAAAATCCGATATTAAGCCAGTGTATTGACTCAACACTAAATGTCGACGTTTTTGTCCCCTCATTATTCATTCTAACACTGGACTTTGTAACAAAAGTCATTCGTGACAATGGATTCTGGCAAATAATGTCTGAAAATATGAAGGTGAAGTTCTTCTTTTTTTAGCTTTACAATAGTGTTTCAAATATCAGTAAGTAAACCTGAGAATAATTGTCTTAAGAGACGACAAAAATCTATAATTTTACACGATTAAAATTACTATTAAAAACAGACACAAGAAAACTTATTTAAAAAAAATCTTAAACATTCTAAATTACAAACTTCAGTACATGAAACATGCATTTGACAGCAAGCCACTAATTTCCAAGACGTAGTATCTTCGGACATCCGTGAGTTGGGCAACCAGAGGTTGTTGACGATTGCCTTTATTGCAACACATAATACTATCCTTCGATGTTTTGCAATGCATCCATATGCTGTTTTCATTGAAACAGTTACGTAATATTCAAGGCTTTTTAGGTCATCCTCGATATGTAAATATTGTAATTTATTGTCTCGACATTCAGTTGATTAAATTTATTAATATAAAAGTAAATTAAAAATAACGACTAAAAGCAATTAATTGCGCTATACTTCTCATGATTTTCTTCTAAATTTCAGCAAGATCCCCGTAATCACTCTAGAGATATACGTAATAACAAATACCAAATTCATTCTTCTATCTAAACTTTCGCATTTATAAAAATAATTGTATATTAGTTAGAAGTAAAATAGTAAGTTTATTTTTTGGTTTTATAACCTAGCAATGTGTTATCGACTACTCAATACGTATCCTATAATTTACACAAACTCTACTTACAGTGACCGACTTGCATACATTTGATATCGATTCAATTGCATAAAACATTTTAATCTTGTTACATTTTTAGTTATATTTATTGTAATCCCACCTTTTATATTTGCTATTATTCGCTTTAGTAACTTTATTGTTATTCAAAGTCTAAAACGTTTATCTCGGATTTGAACAAAAAGTAAAACGTAAACGTAGATATGAGATGCATAATTTATTATATTTACGTTTCGCTTTAGGTAAAGTGACCGCACTGAGGTTACGTAAAATCTGGCTAAGTATAATGATACCTGTTTTCCTTCTAGATACTTTCGAAATTTAAGTATTATTATATTTTAAACCGACTCTGGGGTATTTCCCAGTAAATAAACTATATCTTTAAATAAAAAGAACACCAGCAAGTTTAACTTAATTAACTATCTTGTATTTTAAATGATTTGAAAGCAATGATTAGACAGTAATCTATTTTTGAACCAAACAATTTTAATTGATAAGATTCGAAAGCAGCAAAAATTATGTTCAAAATACAGATTTAAAACTCTTTAGTTGTTTAGTAATAAAATGGAATGCAACTCTACTACTAATTGCTATTGGATATTTACTAAGGAATTTTGTTGCTGGTTTATGACTACATAGACTATTAATTTCGAATGAATTATAGTCTTATTTAGCTAAGTTTCCAGCTTTAAAAGAGATATAATACTCGACCATTCTCTGTCATAGTGATGTACAGATTGACTTTTTCTTTTTTTATAATATTAGTATGTATTGTTCAATTTACTTATATTTCTTATAACCGTTCGAAGTAGACGAAAAAGCTTCTGTTTTACGATTAACGACAATAGAAGTGGCGGGATTCGAACTCACGAGCGCTAGATCAGAAGTCCGGACCCGTAATCATTCGGCTAATGGCGCTTCTACAATCTTGTATCTTTGAATGACATCAAAATCGGTAATTCACAATGGCAGAGTTACATTAATGAAGTCATTAATGCGTTTGTAACATCGGAATCCGAGACGTCCGCAAGAGGGGACCCTACGTAAGGCGAGGGTCAACACGAGCCGACCACTTTCGCTTTTAGTTCCTTCAAAGTTATCGCACAAGACACACGTCGTGAAGGGATGTTATAGCAACTATCGATAAGTGCGCGAATTAAAAAAAATATTTTTAGTGATGTATATTTGATATTTGAATAATTTTGTCGGTTATAAGTTAAAATAAGGTTTACTAGTTGCGTATTCTTAAGTGTAATAGTGTTAATAATAAAAAAAAATGGTGACAAATGTAAAATGGCTCTTTTTATTGGGGATTACTGCGGTTCAATTTTCCGGTAAGAGATGCAATTTTAAAATTAAATATAAATTTTATAATTTTTAAATAAATAATTGGCGCACAATATTTTATTTTTACAATATTTATTATACTTACTGAAGAAGCAACAAGTTATTGAATATTAAAATTATTTATTATTAAAATTTTTCTTACTCTATTTTAGTACGTGACATAAAATGTAACTGCGAATTTTAGCCAAAATAAATTTATAAATTGTCTGTTAAAGAGCGTGCTTTTCTATAGAAATTCGAAATATTAATACTGCAATAAAATAATTAAATACTGTGTGTACATAAACGTTTAATTGATGCAAAAATACGATGAAACTTGTACCGAGTCATACCGGGTATGCACAATGATCGTGCGCGCTACTTCCGAATGTTACGTTAATCGTTCGGCCGACATTCGAGTTACGTAACAGCGCCTCGCTCTTTCGACTTACTTAATACTATCACTCGCGAATATTGTATACAAATTTGAAAGAATGTGATAATTATTTGTTAGTTTCTGAACAATTTTATATTCTTGTGTAACTGATTAGGATATCTGTCGGTTCAGTCTTGACCTCCTTTGTTTAAAACTCCTTAAAAAAATTGGCGCACATTTCACGTAATATAAAGATGTGCAGTATTTAATCTATCAACTAAAATGGGTTTTATATACTAGTTTTGACCTAAGTAAGACAGAACAGGTTAAATAAAACTTTTTATTATTGATTCGTATTCTTACCCGCTCTAAGGCTGAAATTACAATCAATAGGTTTTGTTTTTTCTTTTTTTTATTGTTGCATTAAGTATTTTCGTTTCACTACGAAAGATATAAGTTCACTGCAATATGCTTGTTGCGGTCAAAACTTACATCCGCGACGTAAGGGCCAAAGTATATTAATTTAATCCATATTATGACTAAAATGCCCACTCAAATTATATGAATGACTAGCTGTCGCCCGCGTCTACGTCCGCGCGGAATTAAAAAAAAATAGTCGAAGCGTAATGATAAATAACCTAAAGCCTTCCTCTATAAGTGAACTATCCAACAAAAGAAGAATTTTTCACACCTGACCAGTAAGTACTTCCTGAGATTAGCGCGTTTAAACAAAGTATATTGGTATAGATGAAAAGCCTTTCTTAGTAATCTCTTACATTGTAACTGAAATGTCTAGAACAAATATTTAGGTTTATGTTTTCATATTTGAACGAATGAGTTATCAGCCAGTTACTTTTTATATAAATAAGGTTATATACATATAGAACTTATATAAATATAGTTTGCATTGTGAAGGTCAACAGTAAAGTTTATGTAACTCCGCCTTTTTAAATTTTACTACAAAAAACTCTATTGTTTCAGCTAAAGTTTTTTTTTTTAATTTAGTAAACACAAAAAGTTTTTGCTTGTTCCTTAACTAACAGTGAAGAAAATGTGATATTTTCTTAAATGAAAAGGTTTATGTTAATGTGAAGTTATTTACACCATATATGATAATTAATTGCATATATGTTAAACATTTATATGATAAATAGCTGTGATTCTGGTCTTTGACGTGAGAAGATTTTTGGATTCCACTCACTCGCGAGGCCATGTCATTACGAGAATTAGCTTTTTTTCAAAGCTAAGTTATAGTTGTATTCTTGTAAACCTTACTCTCTTAGTACTACTACTATTATACTTAGTGTAACTATTAAAGCAAAAAGCAGCGCAGGGAGTCGCAAATAGTTCATTCAAACACTCTCAACGGCGTAAACGGAAATATTTATCGTTAGAAGCACTCTCCCACGTTTTATTAAAACTTTTTTTTTACATCAACGATTGATTTGCTTCCCCAATAGCTTTCTCTTATATCTCTTAAAAATAAGCATAAAGAGAAGCCTATACAAAGGAACCATCTAAGTAACTATTAGATGACTAATCGTGGGTTTCTTAGACCAAAATTTCCGTTTAAAACATATTGTCATATTTGCGTTGTCATATATTTTGGTCTCGGAAACCAACGGTAAGAGTAACAGTATGAGAACCCTTATAAAACTGTTATATTAAGCAAAGCAATAAAAATTGTTATCACACTCATTTACCTTGAAAGTTGTTGTGAAATAATAAAGAAATCGTGTAATTTATTTTGAAGGCTGTTGAACTGAGTTTGCATATGTTAACACTTTTGTTTACTTGTATATATCATATTTTATTGATATTAAATTTACATAATTAATATAATTAGATTTTTGATGGAAAACATCGTGATGCAACCTGCATATATCTTAGAAGAATGTCAAACATATGTGTGAAGTCAACCCGCACTTTGCCATCATGGTTGACTACAGCCTAGTCACTCCTCGGAGCCTATTTAGGGTAGGCTCCGAGCCCTTTAGCTTGCTATACGTACCCACCGTATACTAAGCTGAAGATGATACCTCCAACCATTTTACTGAAATTATAAAATAAATGATGAAATGTTATGAAACATTAAGGCACATAAGAGTATATCCAAAAATAACCATATTTTACTTGAAGGGGCATTGTTTCTTTAAATTTCTGTCAAGCGACAACGAACAATTTTATATTCTAACAAACAAGAACAACATAACACACGCCCGTAACTTACAGTGGTAGGCAGAGATCATGGACCTCCATCTAGCAAGGTACTGACACACCTCTCTCGCTTCTACAAGCATCTACCGATACATACATGTCGGTTTCAGATACTCTTAATACCGGTCCTTATTGAGTACTTCATTGATCTGTACTCAAAAAGTCCGTTTGTGTCTTAACTTAATCTTTTTTTTTAAAGAAATATTAGCAGATTTTTGTGTAAATTTACTAATTTTTCTTTAACCATTCCAAATAAGCTCTAAGCTTGTGCTAGGATATGGTTTACGACAATAGTCGGATAGGATTCGAACCCCCGACCTCGTGATCGGAAATCCGTACCCTAAACCGTTAGGCTATTGACGCTTAATCTTTACGTATAATTTGTTATTTTCTCCAATAATGTTGCAATATTATTAATTACTCGAAGTGGATGTAAATAACTATTGGATAAGTAATTGTGCAATATGAATGAATATTAATGAACGAATTTGGTAATGACACACTTTATAATGACCTTGACAAATTGTATATTCTTTTTCATATTCTTACTTAACTAGAGGTTAAAAATAATTTTTAAGTACTCGTACTAGGATGTAAGAATGTATGGTTTCAATTTTTCCTTTATCTGTGCTATAAGATGTTACTTCGTGCCAAATTTCATGATTCTGTGTTCACAGGTACCCTGTAGGTTTTGATTCCTTTGCAAGTGTCATAATTTGCAGCATAAAAGGCTATATCTTGTGATTGCGTTAGTTTGGAAATTTAATTATTTTCACAGCTCCAATGGTAACTAAATCTAGGTATTTGATATAAAATCCATTTTGATATCTTGACGCGTTTCTATATATATTTATATAAAACACAACACAGTGTTTTTTTTTCAATAAACGTACCGGTGGGATGTATGTCCGGTAATATAGTTTTGTTAATAAATATAAATTGTGGTACCTTGATTTTAACCTACACTTAATTGGAATATAATTCATTATAATGCGCATCTTAAGGTTATAAATCATTTAGAGTCAAGTGAAGTATTCAACATAACCTCCAAAATTACAATTTCATTAGAAGGTCTATTGGTGTTGAAACTCTTGACCTCCGTGTTGCAATAGGATCCACCTAATACGACAGAAATGCTGCATCGTCGCTTGCAACAATATGGCATTTTATTGATAAGTCTATGCATTATGCGCCCACGCGTGTAACCTCTTTTCGTAATATCAATTCTTGAGTACTACTGGCGACTATAAATTATGAATATTTGATACTATTGTCTACAACTTTATAATAGCTAGCTGTCGCCCCCGACTCTATCCGCGCAGAATTAAAAACAAAAAAAACTTCAATGATTGAGTTAAAAAGTTCCCTATCTCACATGTTGGACCAAATAACAGATGCTTACAAAATTTAATAAGAATCGGTTTAGTAGTTTCGGAGTTTATTGCGAACGTACATCGTGACAAGAAAATTTTATATTTATAACTTGATATTATAATATTCCTATCATATATTAATGATTCTAGACTTGCTATGAATATGAATCATAAGTGAAAGTGTGACCTGTCACTGTAGTTTAAATGCTATCCAATTAGTCAAGAACCTTTTGCCGATACCAATTTAGTATTGGTAACAGGTAATTTTATAATGGTCTATCGGGATACGATCTGTGGGAATCTTATACAACTGTATTACATTTCTTGTGACATTGTTCTAAACGTGTTCTATTTGTTTTTTAAGTGACGATATAATTCTTTTGCCATACAAAGCAGGCAATTGTGTGTTAATTTTTGTCAACTAGAAATGAAAGTTATTGAATGAGATTTTAATAACCAAGATTACAATGAATTTAACGGAGGTAAACTTAAAATTTTTAAACATTTTTATGTACGTACTAGGTGTCGCCCTCGATTCCGTTCGCGCGGAATTAAAAAAAACTTAATTATCTATGCCAAATTTCAGCGAGATTCATGCAGCCGTCCTGAAGGTACCCTCTAACAAACATCCATCAACCCATGCATTCGTAAATCCAAACATTATTAATATAATATTTGAAAGAAGTGAGATAGTAAAGTACAATTATCAATTTAAGTTTTTACTAAAAAGATTTGCAATCTTCAAAGTGTTACATTGTTGTTTTTTAACAATGGCAACGAGACTTAAGCATTTGTAAAGATGGTGGAATAAATTATAGTAAATTGGACTGTTGTCATTGTCCACTGTGATAGACTATTTTCACTTCCATACTGCATTGTTTAGGTAAGTATATACTTAAATTGTTTGTATGTTTATATTTCTTCAGTGTAAAAAACCTTTATTTATTAAGATAAACAATACTATAGTACTACTATAGTAAGGTTAGAATTTTCAGCACAGTTTAGAGAGAATAACACTAAACTGTTTTAATTTCATTGGTGACAGAAGAAACTTATCCAGTCCTGTTATTTTGTTTTTAATCTCTATAACTGCTGGACTGGATTTTGATGGTACTTTGAATGAAAGGAAGCTAATACACGCGGGCATATATTAAGCTTTTTTTAATTCTGCGTTGACGAAGTAACGAGTGATCGCCAGGGTAATAAATTATATGAAATTAAATAGGAAATTAAACATTACAGTGAAGTTGTCTTTCCTGTGAGCCCTGCCTTAATGTCCTTTATACATACGTCATCGGAACCCGCCACCTTGCTCTGTGTGCCAATGCCATTGTCATAATAATTATACTACAGGCCTTTTTAATTGATACGTATTTAAGATAGTAATAAAGTGATATAACTCTTATACTAGGCTTTATTATTAAGAATACAAGCTTTTAGTGAGTTAAATGATGTATTCTTTATGTTATAAATTAGCAAACGAGAATTAACGCGCACATATCTCCGCAATTAAAGATGCGTTGCCTAACTTTAGTCGATGGAAGAGGGGACGACCAGATAGAGAATATTTCTATGTGAATAGAGAACGTCCTATGTGTCCTCTGTCTAATCGTGGATCGTGGATAGGGAAAGAGGACTGAAAATATTACTGGTATGAAAGGCTTATATCAATTGCTTTTACAGGAATGTTTTGTTAAAGTTTGGACAAAGTTTTTCGTACGTTAACTTAACTTGCTGACGACTAAGATATTGTTATAATGAGCGAATCTAAGTTATATAGTTGTAATATAGTATTTTATAAATTTAATCAACTCAATTGTGCCTAAACAAATGTACCTTCAAAATATTATATTTAAAAAAAAAATTGCTAATGAAGCTTATTAGTATATCAGTAGTTATTTAGTGGTTTATTTGTAGTGGGATTATGTTATGAAATAGTCTGCTGAGTAATTACATAACCATGACATAAATGTGGTGCATTAAGTTAACGATCTAACTAATAATAGGTAGGTAATAACAGCGTGGTATGTTATATTTTGCTGATGAAATTATACGAGTCTTAATTAATTTGCTTAAAATCTTTAATATTTTTTTAAGAAATTGTTTATTCATTTTGTTTTATTTACCTGGTCTTGAATTGCTTTATCCTCTTATGTTACTGATTGTGTCCGGTTTACATTATTCCAGCCTAGCGTTTCAGCGCTGGATCACAACTTGAAAAATGATACCCACACATTTCTGTGCGGGTTAACATTTTTTCAGTAATTCGGTGTTAAATAAGATCACTGTACTGGAATGATATAAACTATAAATTGAAAGGATTAATCGTGGTCTTAATAAAATAGTCTGTTTTATTATATGTATTGCCTCAATAAATTTCTTGACTCAACCATGACTTGATTGTATAAAATCTTCCAGTGCAGCATTCTGTACCTGGCAGAAATTTCTAGAACCTTTTTTTATAAAACGTTTTGCCGTTTACTTTTTCAGTTTCGCAAACCCAAGAAAAAGATGAACGTGAGAAGAAACCGCAGTCGGTGCGAGATCTCTTCGACACTAAGTCATGTATCCCCGGCCCGTTTAGATGTCCACATCCACAAATGCAGTTTTTTCTGTACACAAGGTAAAGATTTGAAACAAAAGAGAACCTAAAAATAAAGCAGTTCATAAAATTACTGCCCTAATTTGTCCAAAAATCTCATAACATGATTTTATTGTAAGCCCAATTAAACTGTATTATTAATTGTTAAGACATCTTTGTATATGTATCTCTAAATGGCGAATGTTAATATCGTTTCAGGTCTACGCAAGAAAAGGGAGAATTAATTAATACTTTGGATAACGACTCGTTGACGAATTCAAAGTTTAATCCGAAGTATCCAACAAAGATTGTCGTACACGGTTTTGGTGGAGGAAGAAACCTGTCGCCTAGCACTGACATGAGGAACGCTTATTTCGCAAGGGGTCATTATAATATCATCATAGTCGATTACGGCAGTCTAGTCAAGGAACCTTGTCTAAGCCAGGTTGTAACACTAATTTAAACCAATCCCTATTTAAATCTCAAATTATATTTTTAGGTAGCAAGCAAACAAAATGCTGATTTTTTAATCATACTCCTCTGTAGACCTTAATTCTTTACTTGCTGTCGCCTGCGGTTCCGTTTGCGCGGATTTAAAATAAATAATTTATTAGGTAGCTTATATGCTTTTCCAGACTATGTTCGATATGTGTGTCAAATTTCATCAATATCCGATAAGCGTTTCTGGAGATATCTTCAGACATCCATCCATCCATCTAAACATTCGCTTTTATAATATTAGTTAAATGGAATGTCGCTAATGAGTACAAAAAGGAACAAAAATCTTTTAAGGTGAAGGCTATTGTATAGACACTTCGTGGATGTTTTTTCATTGATGTTTTTTTTCTAGATAGAATGGGCTCCTCGGTTTGCAAGCATGTGTATAGCACAGTTGGTGGACTACCTGCAGTATCATCCTAAGAAGGCCGTAGCACCAGAGAGGATACACACGATCGGGTACAGCGTCGGAGCTCATATTCTAGGACTAGTGGCAAATCACCTCACAGATGGGAAACTAGGGAGGATCACAGGTTAGTAACGCTTAGAACGAATTGGATTATAATCTTAGAATATACGTTTTATTGTAGAAAATCATCTTAGATCCAATAATTACTTAAGTTTCAATTTAATGTAATTAAAATTTCCAATTATAATTACAGGCTTGGATCCCACCATATTTTTTTACATGGGTAACAATCGGTCTCGAGATTTGGATCACACGGACGCTCTGTTTGTCGACATTTTACATACAGGTGCTGGTATACTTGGTCAGTGGGGACCAAATGGCCATGCTGATTTTTATGTCAACGGCGGCTCGAGTCAACCAGGATGCGCGCATGATACTATTTTTCGTAAGTTTAATTGTTTTTCTTGTCCATATATAATTAAAAAGATTTGTTGTAGAAAAAATGGATTGAGCGCCATCTATGAATGAGACAAACAATGTTATCTGTTACAGTATTTCACAAAAAGATGGCGTTTTTTCTTATGAACTGTAAGAATGGAGGAGACAACAATAATTCTATTTTTTTTTAGAAACACTTTCCTGCGACCATACAAAGGTGACTCCGTATTTCATCGAGTCTATTAACAGTCCAACTGGTTTCTGGGCTGGGCCTTGTCCCAATCTGTTCTCATACTTGATAGGCTGGTGTGAGCCAAAGGACACCGAATATGTACTCATGGGAGAGCACGTCACGCACAGGTAATGCATTTTTAAAAACTGAATATTGATCGAAAAGTAATACATTAAGTTAACATTTATTTAAACAATTCACACTATAACTTGTCCTATTAATTATTATCCACGCCATCTTGATTTTGCCTCCGAAATTAAAAAAAACCTACGTTCTAGTAAATACGTTAAACTAAAGATGGCGCTGATTTAAAATTTAGTGTACATAATTTTTTATCATATTTAAAAGCTTATGCTCAATATATTTTTACAGAGCTCGAGGTGTGTACTATGTGACCACAAACGCAAAACCACCATATGCAAGAGGCTTCCCTGGTAAATCGAGACGCCTGCGATCTGTCACACCGTACAGTTGATTGTAATTTAATTAACGCTTAAACTATAGGATAAAGAAACTGATGCCAACGACTACAATAGTAACGAATTAACGATAGTGTCATATTCTTGTCTGTCTGCATATAGATTATTTTAGTTAGTTAATCAGCATGGAGTGTTGCAAATTAAATCGCATATCCATTTGGACGCATTAAATGCTTTCGGTGATATTAATAATATTATAATATGAGAATTAATTAATTAAATAAATAATATTAATCCGCTTGCGAGTTGTCGTAAATATTTAAAATAGTTTTTTACAAATTGTATTCTAAAATATCGAGTTTTTTAATAGAGATAACCATTTATCGAAGTTAATAAAATGATTTTGCTTAGAATTAATTCTCATAAAACTCCGTCAGGAGTCCTGACCGCATACCTTTTTTAGGTTAAACGGTGAAAGTTGTAAATTGAAAATCTTTCACGATTTGAAGATTGTAAGTATCAACAACATTGCTCGTTATGTTCCTTCAAAATATTAATGGCTTGATTAACTCATTGTACGGCACAATATCTATTGTCTTATTACAATGAACCTTGAGTAAACTCTATTAAATTGTTTTTCGTTTTTAGAAAGCCTTATTCCAGTGCTCTTGCCTTGCATTCATAAGCGGATTTTACAGTTACCATTTTGATACGTGTTTGTAAATTTTTGGTGTAAGGAAAATAAATTATTTATTTCTAAATTCCATGGTTTTATTTCATATTAAATAGGGTTCCCGTGATACTAGAAAAACCCTAAATAGTGGTGAACTTGATTAATCGATTTAAAAACTTTTTAAAAGTTCTACAGTTTTTATATTTGGTACCTTAAATAAAAAGCATCAGACATTTCTGCCAAGTAAAGGTATTGAATAAAACACTTTAAAAATTTCTAACATATATTAGGGAATATAATGTTATCATTACATTTATCATATACATGTTATTGGAAACAAAAAAATATATATTTTCCTAAAAATTTCAATCTTAAGATTTTTTCATGTAAAACGATTCTAGTTCAAAATTAAAGTTTTTTTAATTCCATATAAACACAAAAACGTAACATTTACATAAATCTACAAAACTAGTAAAAATAATATACCTTTCTATAATAAATAATACAATTTAGATTGAACATAAGTCAAGTTATTTTAACAAAAAACTTAACTAATTTAATTATACTTAATTTAAAACACACCGCTAGTTTAAAATAGTATTTGATAGTACAAAAATACTTTTTTTTTAAATATTAGCAGATTTTTTGTCAATTCACTAATATTTATTTTACCATTCCAATTAAGCTCTAGGCTTGTGCTAGGATATGGTTTACGACAATAGTCGAATGACAGGATTCGAACCCCCGACCTCGTGATCGGAAATCCGTACCCTTAACCATTGGGCTATTGACGCGTGATTACTTTGGCATTGTCTATATCCTTTTATTGCTAGTGTTTATAAGAAAAAGAAGTATTTTATTTGCACTGTCATACCTATAAAACAATTATTATTACGTAAATTTATATGTATTTAGCACATTTCCCTTTAGCTTTTTTGACACCGGCCTCTCGTAGATTTGTAGCGACGAAAACAAAATGTTTGTTATGAATATATAATTTTTATGATACAATGTATAAAGTAGTGCTTGACCACTCTCTTTTAGTATGTCTTAAGTAATTAGGATCATCGTATTATATTTTTATTTTATTAACCGTTAACTTATTTTGTAAACCTACTTATATTACTTAAATATAAATTTTGTCTTAATTATTTATAAATGAGTTGATAATGACAATAATGTTCATAAAGTTTAAAATAAAATATTATTAACATGACACTGGCTGAAAATAAAAAATTTAATGATGAATAATTTAACCATTTTTATTTTTCAATAAAAGAAGAGAGAAAGAAATGCATTAATGTTATTCATCTGATACGACCACTATTTTATATAGACAGTAATAAGATTGTTAAAGTTGATTATAATATACACAAATTAAATTAAATATATTATTGATCGTTTTTCAATCTCATGATTCTATTCGATGTATTCGAATTGAAATCTAATGATTGAAAAACTATTCGATAAAATATTTAACTGTTTGCTTTTGTTTTTGTTATTTCTTTATATTTATTTACAAATTATATTATTTATTGTCTTTGTTACATTTAATATCATACAACACACATATAATGTTACACATTCTATATTGAGCTATTTTATAGGCCAAATTGAAACTTTCGTAACAAATCGAAACAATAACAAGACCAACTAATAACACTGTTCCATCTATTCTATTTATTGCGAACTAAATTACATCCTATTGTTAAATTTTATTGTCCATTTAAACTTTGGTAAAATAACATTTAAAAAAAAACAAGTAATAAATTAAAAAGAAGTTAATTTTGAAAAACATAAACCTTTGTTTTTAATTAAGCAATGATTTTTAGCTAACGTAATTTTTATGAACGTAACTTGAACACAATTGAACGTAACTGACATGACTATTTTCAAAATATAATTTACGGTATAAACAGAAACATGTTAAGCGACACAAATTATTTACAGCTTTGAAAGAGGACTTCAAAAGAAAATCCTTAAGCAAAATTCTAATCAGTAATTGACAAATCAGTTCTCCTTGCAAGATTACTTACGGAGTAATTACAACTATCCGTTCGTAAACACTATTCACTTAAACATAATTTTATTATAGAATTCAAACTGATTTTAATGTCTTAATAATACATCGAAAAAAGAAATGAAAACAGTATAATTTTATCTGTCGAAAAAAAAGGTCACTGTTTTTTATATAAATTACTTATGGTTATTTTTTCGAAAATTGGCGATTCTTGTTTTGTGTATCTCAAATTATTTATATATGTCATCATATTTCTTGCCAGAAATCTTTGAAAGTTATTTAAAAATAAAATTAATTAACTCAACTTTTAAATAAATTAAAAAAATTATTAAATTGCACGTAAATGTACATACATTTAATAACTATGTAATTTAATAATATCACATTTATTATGTTTTTAAATAACAATTTACAATAAATGTTACTTAAATTATTATATTCTTAAATCTAATAATCTACTGGCTTCTTTCGAAGCTTTATTGTCGACACAGCCTTACAGAGTGAGGTCACCCCATTTTAATTAACCTAACTTATGTTATTATTACTTATTATTATGTTATTATCAATATAATGTTTTTTTATTTTTCCGTATTTTATATCAAAATCTTAAAAATATTTAAATTAATAAGTACGTATATAATAAATTAAATAATTTCTGAAATTTTATTTCCATACTTTTATGAGGGTTTAAAACTGAAATCATAACGTAGCTTTAAAAGGGGATAGAAAAATAAACTAATGACTTAATTTTATTGTTAAAAAAATCCCATAAATATTTTCCCGCAGTACATAAAAAAAACAATAGAAACTGAATAAATTGAGCCGACGAAAAAAAAAATTTGTAATTGAAACATATTTTTTTTTAAAAAAACTTTTATCTTATATATCATTTCAAATTTACTATTATTTTTTATTTACATTCATTAATACATAATTGAATAGTGCATTTCAACAAGTGAAGGGGGATCCTTAACCCTTTGCACCATAACTTTGGACATCGTGAAAATTATCAGATAATGAAAATTGTAAGCGAAAACTAACCTATGCAATTTAATATTATATGCACAACTCCCGGCTATTCTTGAAGATTACATTAAAATTAAAGGCAAAAATAGAAAAAATAAACAAATTCTGTAAAAAGTTTTCACAGTAAATAATAGCAATCACTTTTACTATATTGCACTGGTTTCAATTCTAATAAATTCATTTTTTTTTTTATATCCAAAGGTGGGAAACGAGCGAGCGGCCACCTGAAATCACTGAAATAGCGAAGTGACCGTTGCCCATAGACATACGTAATTGCATATGCCTATTTAAAAACTAAGATGCTAAAGATACAGAAAATACACTAAAGTTTCGATTTTGAGTATGAACTAGAGTTGTAACTGAGAGATCTGTTAGTTATGTTGAAAAATAAAATAAAAACACATTTTTAATTATAAAAATATTCAGACAATTATAAAACATTTAGTTCGCTTGTTAAAAGGAACAATATCATCAATCTTACTTTAAGGAAGACACAAAAATAATACAAAAATTATTTATAATGTTAAAATACGATGTTCGAATTGCTACGATCATTAAGAAAGTTAATTTTAAAATCTTTTTATACAACACAATTGACGGCGTAGAGAATCGTTAAAAATAATAGTTTAGTTTTACAATAGTAGTTAAACCTATCCACTAAAGTAATGCGAAACAAAAACCAATAAGGTTTTTAAAATTTACTATTATTTAAGTTTTCGTGTCTCTGAGTCCAGAATCAACATTTAAAACATATTGTCATCTCTGTTTTGTCAAAGATGAAAGACAGGGATGTTAATATTTTATACAAAGATTTTGGAATCAACAACGCGGTTAGTATAACAATTTGTTTTGCCATTTAAAATGTAGCTAAATGAAATGTTAAATACAAAAAAATTACAAATTAATATATAGATGCAATAATTAAAATGATTAAAAATAGTTTGATAATTCTCACTTATGTCCAATGAAATAATTATTGTCATATCTTAATGAGGTTATTTTAAATGTTTAATACTGTTCTTTCTGTCTACGTCTACTTTATTATTAAATTATTATACTTATTCATTTATTAACCTTATTCTTAATATATTACATTTCATATATAAAATAAAAAAATATACAAAATATATTATATTAAAAATAGAGCACCACCTGCTGCGGAGTCCTATGACTCAAACAACCAGCGGTCAGGGCTGCAGAGACAGGAACCTTCTCACGATGCGTGCGGTTTCTAGGATAACTGCCTTTTGTATCGGGCCCTTAATCCAACTGTTTAGCGAGAGCTTCTTGAGATGTTGGTTGAAACTCTTCGCTATAAGTCCATTCACCGATACGACTATCGGAATAATGGTAGTCGATTTCATACGCCACATTTATAAATTAATTGTTAATTTGATTACTATTTTTACATTATTTTATTTAAATACTACATATACGACATGTAGTCCAATTTACAATGGATTAAGGCTATATTTTCATTTACAATATTCGGCGATTTTTTATTATGCTTTTGGTAAAACTAATCTTCTTTTATACAATACATAGAATAGTAAGTTAAATTTTTTTTAAATATTCAACTTCTTAATTCAAAATTTATGAAAAAAAAATTGTGTAATGAACAATGTCTGGGTTTTCAAAAGAGTTTCTTATCTTGTGGATGTTTGGGTATACAACTTGAATAGAGTATTATTATATTTTTTAATTTATTTGTGTTCATTTATGTCAAAATAAAAAAAGATCACTCGTTATTTTCTTCGTATGTTTTTCGTTTCCAAATTCCCTCGTCTATCATACTATTTCAAATGTGCAATTACTAACAAGTGAATTTAAGAAAAATTGGTCTTAATGTGTTTTCAGTCTAAAATTATTGTCATAATTAGAATTTTTAATATCAAAATATGCCTGAATTTGGAACTAATTAAATGAAAACATAAGTAGTAAGGACTTATTATTTGTCATGCACTT